ATACTCTGTTAGATTATGATGAAAAATTAGTTTATGTATCTTTAGGGCTAAAAAGAAACTTAATTTAAATTCTCAGACTGTAAACATTGAAAACCAATCCACTGTTGACTGCAGTGCTGCCATTAAGATCGAAAACAAAACTAACATTTGGTTACCTAAAATTTCAATACCTAAGTATTATGGTGATCGTAGTTTATTTTTGGAATTTTATAATTCTTTTGAAAGTGCTATTGGTAACAATAATGAGTTAACAAAGTTTACTCATATTAAATCCTTACTTGCAGGACCTCCTTTAAGTGCAGCATCTGGGTTCCTTCTACCCAATGAATATTATGATGGTTCTATAAGTTTAATCAGAGGAAGATTTGGACAATCAGATTTGGTTCGCACATGAACAAACTCTTGAATCTTGAACCTGTTAGAAGTTCGTCCAATGTGAAAGGTCTAACAACATTTTACAATTCTTGTAAAATCAATATAAGAAGTTTAAATTCTTTGGGTATTGTGTTGGAAGCTTATCGGAGCCTTTTAGGGTCAGTTATTTTAAAGCTTTTACCGGATGATGCAAATTTGGAATTTAATAGAAAATGAAACTCTAAACAGCAGTTTAGCCTAACAAAACTGCTCGAATTCATTAAATTAGAAGATGAGATTTGGGAAGCTACTAATTTAACAATAAACTCAAAGAAAAGGGACACAAACTATGGTGTTAAGCAGAATAAAATTAATTACTTAAAAGGGGCAAGCGACTGCTTCAGCATTAGCCACAATGACCAAGTCGGACTATTTTTATTGTAATCAAAATACACATGATGTAGGAAAATGTGAGAAAACAAATGAGCAAAAAAGAGTGAAATTTAAAAAACTAGGGACGTTGCTACATATGTTTTAGGAAAGGACATGCATCATCGAGATGTAAAATGAAACTTCAACCTTGCGAGTTACAGTAAGTAGTTGCAGTACCAGATTCTAGCAGATTGTAGTTGCATCTCTATCCTTTAACTCTAAGACTGTTTCTGAAACTGCTGATAAAAGTGTGTATTTACAAACTTGTATTGTTTACGCTTCAGATACAGATAATACTATAAGTCAAACAGTAAAAATCCTAATTGATAGTTGGTCACAGAGGCCATTTATTAGATCAGATTTAGCTAAAGAACTAAAACACTTTATGAAAAAAAGGTTATATACTTATTCCTTTGAGTATATTCAGCGTACACTAATAGAATATAATGTTATTCAAATTACCCTGAAACACATGCATTGCTCTGATGATTCGATCACAATTGAAGCTCTTACAGACACTATTTCTAGAGCGATCATAAAAATTCCCTCGAAAAAAATGTTGGAAATATCAAAATCAGAAAATTTAAAATTAGTCGATAATGGTGACGCAGCTAAAATAAATATATTGTTGGGATCTGATTCACGTTGAGAAGTGCAAACAGGGGAAAAGAAAAGAGTAAGTAAGAATTTATTTGAGGTTTCTTCTATATTTGGTTGATCCTTGGTTGGATCTTTGGAAGTTGATCAGTCTAGTTCCTGTATGTTTTCGACTGGCACTTCTCCTTGCTTGAAAAGAATATAATAATACAACTAATGACTGTTTGGGAAGGTTTTAGACTTTAGATCACTTGGGTTTAGTGGGGAAGGAGAATCCTGATGATAAATCAGTCATTGAGAAATTTGAAAAAGAACTGCATTTCACTAATGGTAGATATGTAGCTCATTTGTTATGGAAATCGCATCATAAAAACTTGGGTAATAATTTAGAAAATGCCAAGCGACATCTAGTGACTTTAATTAATAAACTAAAAAAAATAATAATAACTATAATAGCATAATAAGCAAACAGGTAAAAAATAAAATAATTGAGGAGTGCGAAACTGAAAGTCTTGATAATAATAAAATGTATTACATGCCACATTTTCGAAGGATAAGAAAAAATCAAAAACTAAAGACTATATAGCGTTTAACGCATCTTGGAAGTGTAACAATGAGGTATCTCTGAACCACTGTTTGATGACTGGTCCAAATTTGAATCCTTCTGTTTTGGACTTGACATTGTGGTTCAGACAACACAAACGTGTGTTTAGCCAATATTCAAAAGGCATTTCTCCAGATTGGAATATCTGAAATTAGCAGAGATGTGTTACGGTTTTTTATGCTTCGATAATAATTACAATTTGAAACATTATAGAATGACTCGCATTCCTTTCGGTGTTATTTCTGGCGTGGACTATAAAGAAACATATAAAGAAAATAGTGGTAGAAAACCCAGATATTTTTTAGATATTGAACAGTTTGATGGGGCTGATTCAGCAAAACAGGTTTTTAAGTTAAGTACTGGAGCCTGTTGTGGCTTACAGATGCCGGAAATGAAGTTGTGTCAGTTTAATACAAATTTAGAGGAACTCAAAAAACTTTGAGATAATAATGGAATAATTAGGTCAAATAATGAATGAAATAACTCCTTAAAAGTGTTAGGGCTTAACTGGTGTACGAGTAGTGATATAATTTCCTTGAATATAGATAACTTGTGTGAAACATTAAATAGTTGTAGAAATACAACAAAAAGAAATATATTAAAGGTAACTGCTACTATTTTCAATCCAGTAGGTTTCCTTGTGCCATTTGTATTATGTGCAAAATTGACAATGCAAAACCTTTGGCAATTGGGTTTAGAATTTGACGACGAGGTTCCAACTGAATGTAAGCAGTTGTGGTTCGAATGGTGCAGTGAAACTGAAAAGTTAAAGAAATTTAAAATTTCTTGCAAATATTTTCCAGGAAAATTGAATCAAAATAAAGGTACTGAACTACATTTATTTTGTGATGCATCTATTAAAGCATATGATGCAGTCACATATTTTACATCAGTTGAGGAAGGGCAAGTAGCATTCATTATGGCAAAATCTAGAATTGCGCCAATAAAATAAAAACTCACACTTCCAAGGTTCATTGGAAGATTAACTTCGGCAAAACTTGCTAAAAATTTAAAAGAACTATTTTCAATTCATGAAAAAAATATCTATCTGTGGTCTGACAGAATGATAGTGGCTCACTGGATCCATAGTGATCCTGAACGTTGGAAAATGTTTGTGAAAAATCGAGTATCGGAAATACAATCATTAACCTGCCCAAGTAACTGGAGACATTGCAGTGGAAAGTCCAATCCAGTGGACATTTTATCTTAAGGCTGTTCAGCTGAATATTTGTTGTCTTCAAAATTATGGCACTCTGGACAAGACTGGGTCAAAAATTATGGCACTCTGGATCAATGGGTGCTTGGCCTAGTAAATCTATTGCGACAACAGACTTTACTGATGCTGAATTAGAGCAGGGAAAAAGTGTATAAATGGTACCACAAATACTCCCATCTATTGCAGAAAAATCTAATCCTCTGCTGAATATTGGAAAATTTAGTAAATTAATTAGAGCTATTAAAGTGACTGCATGGATCTTTAGATTTATTCACAATCTGAAAAATTACACTGACAAGAAAACAGGACCTTTGGTAGCAGAAGAACCCTTTGCTGCAGAAATATGTTTGATAAAAGAAGTTCAATATGAACATATTTTGATGAAATTAAAAGTTTAAAGTCTGAACAGTTGATTTAAAAAAATTCTAAAACTTATGAACTGAATCTTTTCCTAAGTGAGGAAAGAGTTTTGTTAGTGGAAGGAAGATTGCAAAAATCCTCTTTAAGTTTTTAGGAATAGCATAATATAATTATTCCTTTAAAAACTCCTTTTACAGATCTTCTGGTACATAATGCATATGAACGAGTTCTTCATACAGGTGTAGCTAATAATCTCATGTTCCTCCATGAAAAATACTGGATAATTAGATCCAGACAAAATGTGAAACAGGTTATAAGAAACTATGTTTTGGGTCAGCATTATAACTCCAAACCAATCCAACAAGTCACAGCACCATTACCTTCATCTAGAATTGAAAAAGCAAATCCCTTTGATGTTACAAGACTGGATTACGAAGGTCCACTTTTCATTAAAAATGAAGATATGGAGTATTATATCCTATTATTTATGAGTGCAGTAATTAGAGGCATTCCACTTGAACTAACAAAAGATCTTACAACCACATCTTTCCTACTTGCTTTTCATCGATTTATACCAAGAAGAGGATTATGCTTTTTAATATACTCAGATAACGCACATACATTCAAGGCAGATGATGTGGAGCTCAGAAAGATGTGGCAAGCATTAAACCAACTTGATGCAAAGAATTATTATGCCACAAATGGCTTTCAGTGGAGGTTCATCACCGAAAGAAGAGCTTGGTGGGGCAAATTTCATGAGAGACTTGTGCGATCTGTCAAAACAATATTAAGGAAAATCGTTGGTAAAACATCACTGCTACCCGAAGCATTGGAAAGTGTACTGACTGAAATTGAAGTGGTGATAAATCATCGACCCTTGACTTACATCCAAGATAATGAGCCCCAAGTTCTGTCACCTGCTCATTTTCTGCTAGGAAAGAAATTTGCTGAGTTGCCTCCTGTCAAATACACGATAAAGTGTGCAGCACTAATGAAGTTCTTTTAAAAGTGCATCTATGTCGTGAAAAACTATTGAATAACTTTTAGAAAATCTTCTATAAAGATTATTTGCTGAATGTGACATCTGCAAATTGTGTGAACAAATCACCGTACAAAACAAAACTTGAACATGAACAATATATTGATAATACATGATGAACATTTACCATGTAATATGTGGAGGCGTAATATGATTTATACCACATGATATACCATGTAAATATGATTGTGCCCCCAAAATACTGTTTTAAGTTTCCTCACTGTTGAATAAAAACAATTTCTAATCATTATAATACTACATTAAATTTCAAATCTAAAATAAAAATCATAAAATATAACTTAAATATTACAATACATTTGACTATTTTAATCATGCTTTTAAGATTAAGAATTAAATCTTTAATTATATTTAACATGCATTACTAAAAATATACTAACCATCTTCTTTTGCTTCAACACCAGGCAAAATACTTTCTTGTTCAAAGCTTTCATTACAGTGAGTATTAGCCGTTTTCTCTTTTGACTCAATATGTTTACTTACAGTTGGATCTTCAGTAGAAAGGTCATGATCAGTTTCAATATTTTTAAAATCTATAGGAATTAATAATTTAAAAAATAATGAACGCTCTTCAATAAACAGTTTAAAAACTACTACAGTCAAAAGTCGTTAATCCGGACTCGTCGGGACTTCGGCGATTCCGGATTATCGATTTTTCCGGTTTATAGATCATCAGTTTAAATCTCGTAAGATGGCATGCAGAAATTCTAAAATTAAAATATGAAACCGTATTATGAAATAAGAACAATTATGATCTAAAGGGTATCAAAATTTGCAAAAAGAAAGGCTTAATATTTATTTGTTTACTTATTAAACATTTCTTTTCAATGTAAGTTGTTTAAGTTTTGCTTCGTTTCATGTGGATAATATTTCTCTTTAATTCTATTAAACCGGACATAATTTCTTGTTCAGTTACAAAGTTCCGCTGTTCAAGGCCATAATTGCTGGTTCGAGAACACCGCTAATTTGTCAATCGAAATTTTGTTCGTGTTCAATAACCTCTGTCCTTTCTTCGCTATCAGAAGCGAATTATAATGACGAGGAACTTGTTTTAACTCATATCAAAGACGGAGCATATCGAGATGAATACTACATTGGTAAGGAATTATAGCGAAATAAAATAAAACATCTGCGCTGAAGAAAGGATAGTGCTGACAGATCAACTTCCAATTCATTATGCGCCCCCGCGGCGTTCCCCCCCCGAGCAGCGTGAAATTGATAAACAGATTCGATTTCAAACATACTTTCGCTTTAGATCCTTACATATTAAAAAATATATCGGAAATTCTATTTGATATAATTGAAAGTTGAAGCTTCTTTTATAAATTGCTCTTACAGTCTGCAAAAATAATAAGCCAGTCCAATTCGAAATTTAAGGAACAATGCAATCATCAACATTACTGAAATAGATAATTAGATAATTTTAGCTATACGTCAATTATATAAAACGCGCACGCGAAAACGTATTCGCAACTTGCGCACACTCATATGCGCTCGTAAAAGGTCTTACGCACACGCATAATGCCTATGCGCATGTGTCAACGCTGCGCATGCGCAGAAAGTTTTTAGTTTTGATGTCCTGATTATAGATCATTCCGAATTATGGGTGTCCGAATTAACGACTTTTGACTGTATCAAAAAAGTAATTTTCTTTTATTACATATAAAAAATTACTCATATACAAAATGTTCTCACAAATTCAAGTTTTAATATTAAAAAAAAAGGCACCTTTAGAAATTATCTTTGGAACAGCCTTTTCCTTTTCATGAATAACAGAACCACCATGCTCCTCTTTCCAAACCTATGAAAGCAAAAAATACATATCACATAATGTTTACCTAAGACTTGAAAAAATTCTTATGCACATTTTTCCCCTCTTTCCCTCACTATAGTACATAACATAGCACATTCATTGCTACTCATGTGCACATATATGTGTGTATATATTTATAAAATATATAAAAGAGTAAAAAATTTAGAACTTATTTCACACAAAGATAAAAAAAAAAAAAAAGGAAATTCAATTTATTCACAATGTCTGGAAATCTATATATACTATGGGGTTAAGACCATTTTGTGAAAGGATTCAATTCGGATTAAACTCCCGGATGGCAGTTACTTTGAGTTGAGTGATACAATTGTTGCTATAATGACAAGATTTCCCAAGAGATAATGTGCTTGAGATAAAATTCTCATAGAACTATGTGAGTCTGATGGACCTTATATTTCTTTATGGCTGTCTGTTCTCTACTTTAGAAGTTAACAGTTGTTTTAAAAATCTCAAGAAGAGCAATCACCTGGGCTTGACGCTCTTCTAATGAATTGTACAGCACTTTCATGCGGTGGATAGCACATTTCTACACGACTTTTCAAACCTTTGTTTACAATACAGTTTTTTCCAGCACAATGGAAGCGATCTCGATTGTTTGATTCCTAAAACTATAGATACAAGAACCCCTTATCTTGATAATATTAGATGCAGTCTTTTGCCTACTTTGGGAAAATGTTGAAACTATCTTCATTAACAGAATAAATTGGTATTTGAGACCAAAAAGCTTTATAATGATTCTCAGTTCGGATTTACTCCTCAGAAGTCCGCTGAAGACGCCATTATTCGCCTTGTAATATTTCCAGTGTGCAAAAAAATATTATACTACACTTCTTATTTTCCTGGATTTCAAAGGAGCTTTGATAATGCTTTTGGCCATCTATCTTAAAAATTTTAAAAGATGCTGTATACCACATAATAATCTATAACCTTCTTAAAAGCTTCTTGACGAGAGGACTGCTGAGCTTCAGCTGGGAACGAAGCTAGGTTTATTCTCTAGAAAAAGCTGTCCTCAAGGCTCTATATCCGGACCTACTCCTTGGAACATAATCATCAATGATCTTTTAAGTCATCTTGACGTTGTTTAAAAATTGCATTTGCAGAGACTTACTATTAATTTTCCAAGGAAGGATTTTGAATAACATTCTTTTGAGAGCACAAGAAGTTCTAGATTTTGTCTCCATTTGGGCAATTTCCATAAACTCACTTTCAATCCTTCAAAAAGTAAAGCTATGCTTGTTCCCAGTACATTTGATAACAAAATATTGCTTCTTTGATGCTCGATAATTCTCCGTTGGCATTTGTAAAAATGTTAAATATCTTGGTGTCATTCTTGACCAAATATTAACATGGAAAAAACACATTGAATTCCTTTGCTAATTGGAAAAATTATTAATGGCTTTCACCGAATTGCCAAAATACTTTTGGAGTAAGCTACGATGTTAAGAACTCATGTATAAGCAGTGTATTGTACCTTTCATTTCGTACAGCTGTCGTGCTTGGGGAAGTTCTTGCCAGAAGGTTAAAAAAGAATTTAAGAAAGATTCAACGGAGAATTCTTCTTCATATTATTAGTGGTTATAGAACCTTAACTATGAGGCTACTTTTGTTCTGCAGGAGTTCCCCTATTGATTTTGAAATTGCATATAAGAATAATATTTTGAGTCATTCGCACTCATGCTTCGAAGACTGTATTAATGGAATTGTCCCCTTCACTGATCTTCCTCATCCCCTTTTAGAACCCTAAATTTCTGCGATTATAAGAGACTGCTGAAATAAGTTTTCATATGGTTTTCTTTACAGATGCAGCAATGGACAACAAGGTTGGCCTCTCATTTCTTCTTGAAGGCCATTCCAAGATTTGTTTTCTTAGACACCATATACGGAATGAATGTACATTTTTTCAAGCAGAACTTCTGTGCATTTATCTTGCCGTCAAGTGGATCCAGGTCATAGGACCACCTCAAAGTACCCTTATTTTCTGATCTCTTTGTTCTCTTCAACTTTGAACAGTATTCCAGCTGCGATAAATTTATCGAAACCCTAGTAACTGTTACTTACTTAGAATTAGAGGTATTGATATCTGCTTTGCTATGTTCGTGCTCATCATGGTTTCTACGGAAATGAAAGAGCTGATTTCTTAGCTAAAGATGCCTTAAATTTACCCATTGATATCAACATTAGCTTTCCAAGAGTTATTGGAAGTCCTTTCATTATAAAAAGCTTTAGCTATGTGGAATGAGGAAATACATTTCATCTTGTAATGCTGAAGTCACCAAAAAGTTTCCTTCCTTCTATTTACCATAGACTGAATTCCGAGTCTTTCCTCTCGTTAACTTTAAAGTGTCTCAGTTTTATCTGGTCACGTAAATTTGCAAGTTATCTGTTCCGTTTTAATCTACGATCAAACAATTTATGTGAATGTTCAAAAAGAGTATCTCAAGGATGTGGAACATTTGATGGCCCTAGATTATGCTTGCAGAACGATTTGAAAATGTTCGGAGCGACTTGGCCAGTGAACTTATCTGTTTTCGTGAAGTCCAGACTGCTGTTCTCTGCTTTTGTTCGCTTTATTTATGCATGTAATTTTTAATGTTTATTTATACATGTAACCTTTAATGTTCTAGTTAACTTACTTCTGTAAGCCCCGTGTTGTACATATGTGGTGCACGGGGAGTCTGGTAATGTTCTCAAAGGAAAAAAAAAAAAAAAAAAAGAAAAAAAAGAAGAAAAAAAAACCAATAAATTTCAAAATATCCTAGAAATATACAAAATAAGAATTTAAGAAATGTGAAATTAAAATTTAAAAATCTAAAAACCTGAATATATAAACCAAAACCAGGAAAAGAAATAAAGATGAGGAAGTCAATAAAATCTGGTGTAACTCTATCAAGAGGAGGATACATCAGACTCAATTACAATCCCCTTCCACTTGAAAACCCTTGTGTTTCTGTATTCAAAATTAGCCAATGAACTATTCTAAAACTTTTTAATTAATAACAGTTCATCCAAAAATTCTGAAGTCCTCCTCAGCGCAAGGAAAAGTCAATGTCAAATCAAGTAAAAGGGAAAAAAATAAGACTTTTTCACTGACTTTAAAATTGAAATAAAAAACAAAAATAAACAAACATAAACTAAGAACATGAAATAAAAACTAACCTAGAGTTACTTATATTTTTAGGTTTTAATTTCATATTTCTTTATAATTCTTATTTTGTAATATTTCTAGGATATTTTGAAATTTATTGGTACTGAATTCCACTTTTTAGGGGTCTTTGTGTAAAATAGGTTCCAAATTTCTTACTTTTTGTCTACATTGATCAATTTTCAGCAACATATTGCACAAAAATACTTTGAATAATTACGTTTTTAAATAAAAAAAATGTGATACATGAAAAAAAGACATTTATAGAAACATATATTTGAAACTACATAGAAAAAATATACATTGCTTCAAAAAAAATTTATATTTAAAGAAATTAAATAATGATCAATCTGCATAAATGCATATATGTTTCTTGCATTGTGATAAAACAACAGTACCTAGAGCCATCAAATTTTGAACAATATACATTTCCACACAAATATGGGAACCTGAAATATGGAATATGTTTCAGTAACTATTTCATATTTTGTAAAACTTTAACGAATTTTTCATTAGCAAACTCAATGATTTCAAAGCAAGCAATGGCAGCCCGGTTCAGAAAAAAAAAAAAAAAAAAAAAAAATTATCTCCAGTGCTCGAGACTGTGTATCGGAAATTCTAAAGATATGCTCACTTTAAAATGATTTTGCGATATTACTATTGGATTGAATTTTATAGTTTAAGTGTGAAGAACATGATATTTAATAAATAAAGGTAACACACAAAATGTTAAAAAAAGCCCATTTGGGCATAATGTAAAATCTGAAAACTTTCAGTCCCCCCTTTCTTTCTTTTTTTTTTTTCAGGGGGCATACAAATTGTGATATATATAGTGCATCTACAAAGTTTAGGACCAAGTTTTTTTAAAATGTCTAAAATCTGCCAAACAAAAATTCACAGCATTTACTGCTCTAACATCTCAACCTGCTTTTCCTAAAATATCATCTGCCCCTTTATTTTCAGCAGAGAGAATTTCCTATGCAGTTAATTGCTTGCTTTGACCCATTGAATATCTGCTATCATGGATTCAAAGGCAGAGCAATAGGTAGAAAAAAACATTTTGTTGTAAAGCAGTATATTAATTCTGATTTTCACACACAAATTTTGACAAGAGATGAAATTTGAAACATTTTTTATGGTTTTAAACAAAATGGTAATAATTTGCTTTCATTACAGAAGATTCACTATGGCCACATAAACTTCAGTTTTAGGAATTTCAAAGACACTGTTGTAAAACATCCTCAATTAGAGAAGGATAATTCACATAGGATTTTTTTCCATGAGAGAACAATGAAATTCATCAAGACATGGTTAACAGATCCCTGAAGAGACTTCAGTGCATTAAACCTGGAAAAGCTCTCCCTCCCTCAAAAAATGGAACAGCTTTCTAATCATGATAACCACAGCCATGCAATACCATTCTTGCCAAGACTTTTCTTGCAAAATAAGTCTCAAATCTCAACCATCTCCTTATTTATCAAATTTGATAACTATAGACTGCTTTCTGTTCCTTACAGTAAAGACTCATTTTAAAGACTATTATTTTCATAGCATGGAAGAAAATATGGGTTCTATGAAGGAATCAAGGAAATACACAAATGTGCCATGTATTATATAGATGTATAAGGATTATATATTGAGGGCTAAGGCATAAGAATGTTGTTTTCTTTAGTTTCTGATTTTGTATGAATTACCATTACTTTCTTAAATGCTACCTAAAATGGTACTTCCTTTTTATAGAAGCCTTGGTTCAATTCGGGCTTAAGAAAGTGCAATTCGCTGCTAAATACTAAAAACAGCCATTAAAGTGAAACACACTAAATGGCAATCAATGTAAATCAAATCATTCGATATCTGTACAACACACTTTTTTAATATACACACGCGAAAACAATTTAATATAATTTATGCATTATTTTATTTAATACAATTTTATGAGCAATGCTTAAAAATAAATAAAATACATAAACACACCCAAATATAAATTTTTAAGACATATTATAGTGGCCACAGCTCAGCTATTGCTGAGCTGTGGCCACTATAATCTAACATAAATTTTGCCATTCAGGCAAAATATCTAAACATAAATTTTGCCATTCAGGACTCTGAGGGATGGCAAGGGGTATCCCCATGTGTTTTATTTCACCATTTCCTAATCCCCATATGCATTCTGCTTTTTTGATTACAGCCTCTTTTATACTGTGAGCAGACAGAAAATAATAAATATATTAAATACTTAACAACAAAAACTATTATATTTTAAAGAGAAAATTTTCACTAGCTGAAGAAATATAAACAATGCATGCACAGGTCAATCAGCAGCTATTTGTTTTTTGTTAAAGTGGAATGGTGCATATTAAATATTTAACAGAAACAAAAAACAAACAAAAAATCCACTCATATATTTTCAAAGAGAGTATTGTACAGTCAAAAGTCGTTAATTCGGACACCCATAATCCGGACCTCCGGAAGAATAATCCGGAAGTTAAAAACTTTCTGCGCATGCGTCCGCGTTGACACATGCGCATTAGGCGTTTGCACGTGGCGCATAAGACCTTTATGACTGCGCATATTGCGTGTGCGCAAGCGCAGAATACGTTTTCGCGTGCGCGTTTAATGTATAACGGATGGTATAAGCTAAAATTATCTAATATCTATTTCAGTTAATGTTGATGATTGCGTTGTTCCTTAATCTTCAAATTGGATCCGGCTTATTATTTTTTGCAGACTGTAAGAGCAATTTTATAAAAGTAAACTTGAATTTTCGATTATGTCAAATAGAATTTCCGATGCTGGAGCTCCCAAAGGATCTACAAAACAAAAGTATGTTTCGATGTCCATCAAACAAAAAGTGGAATTGCTGCAAAAAATTGATAAAGACATGAAGAAGGTGACAGAGAGGTTAGTGAAAACGAAAAATTTTCAATTGACCAGTTAGTCGGTATTCTCGGCACAGCAATTACGGGACTTCAACAGTGGAACTTTGTAACTGAACAAGAAATGATGTCTGTTTATAGAATTAAAGAGAAAGTATTATCCCATAAAACGAAGCAACTTAAACAACTTACATTGAAAGAAATATTTAATAAGTAAACAAAATATTAAGCTTTTTTTTTTTTTTTTTTTTGTAAATTTTGATACCCTTTAAGATCATAATTGTTTTTATTTCATAATTACGGTTCATTTTTTAATTTTAGAATTTCTGCATGCCATCTTACGAGATTTAAACTGATGATCTATAATCCGGAAAAATCGATAATCCGGAATCACCGAAGTCCCGACGAGTCCGGATTAATGACTTTTGACTGTATTAAATCTTTAACTATGAATTACTATTATGTTTGATGAAGGAGCAGAAATCATATGCATATTTGCAAACTGATAGCTTTTTATTTTTCACCGAGGCAGAAATGGATCTATTCCCATTTCTTGCCAAACAAGGGATGTACCTGTAAAAGTCTGTGGACATACTAGGCATATTTATAAATAGTCATAAATTTATTTTGTTTACTATAGTGTTTAATCATGAATATATAACTGAAGTGCTCACTTTCATGTAAAATTTTGGGTCAGTCAAACCATAACTTCTTCAGTTGTTTCAAATTTGCATCTAACTAGCAGTATAGCTTGCCATATGCAACAGATACAAGTGAAGCATGCAAACCTAAAACCTTTATTTATCATTTAAGCATAAATGTTTTGATACTGTTAATAATGTAATAATGTATTTTAAATAATGTAACTAAATATTAACAATCATCTAACTTAATTTCTTTTATTACTGAATAGCAAAACTTTTTCTATCCATTTAATAGTCATAGAGCTTTTAAAAAAGAATAATATGCATACTTCTGGCTTTGCTTCAACTGCAAAGTCTAACAGCACATTTGACTCCATAGACAACTGTGTATTACAACTTTTTGCTTCCCACTCACCTTTAATAAAACAAATCAAACAGTTATAAATAAGTTTCAATTCAATTTCCTCTTCCAACATATTACTAATATATAAAATACTGTATATATAAAAAGATATTTAAATAATTATTGAAACTACTCGATATTATCTCTGATTCTATTAGCATAATTCCTAATACTCTAATTCCATTTAACAGACTTTGACAAGGGTAAGTGAAAAATGCTTTGTCTTTTAGAAAAATTTAAGGCTGTTTCCAATTTAGTTGCAGAGAGTGTGATAAACAATGTGTATATTTTCTGCTTCAAATTACTAACCTCACAACAAACCTGAATATTTTGCCATTTTCCCCTAAATGAACTTTTTGGACTACTTACCGATATTTTATACAGAACCGAGTTCAAAATCTGAACTCATTAGGATTTCAGTGATTCTAGATCATTAGTTGAAATCTAGTTAGATGACCTGTAGAAATTATAAAATTAAAATATGAAAGAGTTGCTTTCAAAATAATGAAGCCGATTTGCCCTACAAGGAAACTTTTACAAAAAAAAAAAAAAAAAAAAAAAAAAAAAAAAAAGAAAAAGAAAAAAGAAAAGAAAAAGAAAGAGTTATCTTTGCTTTATTTTCTCTCATGATGTTTTCACCTTGTGTTGTTTTCCCCACGACGTTTTGGGCGGACACTGAAAAAACCCATTTTGAATCCATTTTACAACACATTTGGAAAAGTCCTTTATTCTATCCATACATACAGACGTCACACACACACACACACAAAAAAAAAAAAAAAAAAAAAAAAAATTGTCAATCCAGATTCGGGAATGGTCAAAATAGATATCTTCGTTGAAATCTGATAAACGAAAATGTTCACAGTTACAATACTTCTTTTACTTCATACAAGTAATTAATAATATAACTATCACCTCCTTATATTAGAAATCTATCTTTAAAGCAATAATTAGTTAACTGATTCAATCATGCAAAAAACTTCCTGCTTTCAGAGAAATGTATTCATGATGGGATTTTTTAGGGGAACTAGCTTGCATTCCCGTCATAAATAGGAAAATATGGTACTCACAGATTAACACAATCACCTTAGTAGAAGTAGCTGAATTTTCAAAATGTGCCAAACTCTGGCAACACATGCACAACAATCCTTCAGTCAAGCAATGCCGCTATTTTCGTATGTGTTCTTTGTTGTTATAATCAGAATTGCAAAACTTTTTATAAACAAATCATAATTTTTGCCTTTAACTTAAGTTTAAAAATATCATCTTCTGAAATTTGCCAGCAATGGAAGAAACTGCTGTTACATTTCTGCAGGAATACAGATTTTGCTGAAAATTCTCTAAAGGGAACAATGAGGAAATGTGTTTCCTAGATAGCTGCTGCTGCTGAGGATTGCATGAAGATGAGTTTGGACAATTCTTTGATTTTTTTTAATGCGAAAACAGATTGCTGTGCGCTTTGGAAGAAGAATAGCACAAAAAAAAAAAAAAAAAAAAGAAGAAGAAGAAGAAGAAACAAAGATTTAGAAGAATTTAAGAAGTTTTTAATTTTTTTAATTTCATAATTCAAATTTGTATTTTAAATTGCTATGATATATTTTCTTTTCATATGCTGATAATGTTTACTGACTCACAATAAATATCAATAGTTTGAAAATCTTCCCGAAAACCACCAACTTGCACCTGATAAGTGACTTACTTTTTCAACTGTACAAAAACTACCATACTGTACTAGTGTGGTTGTTTTAATATTTAACTACTGAAAAAGATGTGAAAATATCATACATTCATTCAATAAAAACCAAACCTGATGAGTGGTTTCTCTCCAGCAACTGAGCAATTACCATTATATCAACTTTCACGAATTTGAGTCCTGTAATGATTCAAAATTAATCAATAAATATCTACCTAATAACCTTTAAAAACTGCAAATTCAGGGCTCAATCATACTTTATATTTCGTAACTTCTTATATTTTAAGACAATAATCTGATGAATATAATTACATTAGATGAAGTGGTAAATATCTTGAATTTGCATCTTCTAGAAATTTTAAAGTTTCTTGATTTTTATGCTGCTATACACACCAGTGTTAAAGTTGCATATTAGCACTCATGTTCAGTGAACTGACAAGCGCTTCATCTCTTTTAGGACCCAGTCATTTGCTCTTTTCTTTACCCATTTACTACTTATTCTTTCCTGGATAATCTAAATAGATTCCTGTTGATCTAAGTCTCTTAAACTGCTGATTAAATTAGTTCTTAAGTGACTAATATAGACTTAAATGCAACTCCTATTATTATTATTTTGGTACAATTTAGGATAAGAATACTTTCATTTTCTTCAACTGAAGTGTAAGTTCCCTGTTTCATATCAGGACAATGACACACTGTTTAAATCTTGGGTTTTTCTACCAGATAGCTTATTTTAAGGTACACATATTTACATAAACAACTAAATTCAACACCTTGAAATACAAATTCAATCTCGAGATCTGGATACTAGTATCATATATATTAGCTTTCAAAAGTTTAATCAATGTAAATTCCCAATTTCTGAAAATGTAGTTGAATTTCAGTGGGTGAAAAATGCCACAGATGCAGATGGCAATATCTAAATATCATATGTTACAGCCAACCATGATTGACTATCTGAACTAATGCTAATTAAGGAGTCAATGAAAAGATCAGCATTCTGAAGTGTTTGAGGAGTTAATTCATATGCTGATACTAAATTATTTAGAACCTTTCGTACAATAACTTTTGATGATATTCATGTATCTATAGCTGAAAGATGACAAGTGGCAGACAGCGAGTCTGGTTCGCTATCAGACACTATCAAGCAGGACAATCAAGCAAAGCTGTCGCATTTTTCTTTGCCAGTGATCATTTATAATTTCTCGAACGTTGAAACAACTCATTTGCTTTACACAAATCAATGTTCTTTCTAGTCTCTGCTTCAACTAGTAAAGCTTCTATTACTTTACTAACACAATAAAAATCTGATAAACTGCAAATAGCCATAATCCATGCTCATTTTTAGATGTAAATGAACTAATTCCAATTTTCACAAAATTCATAGCAAATTTTTCTTATACAACCTTTGTCAGAAATGTTCCCGGACAAAGGACATAAAAAAAATAGAAAATTGCATTTACCAAGTAATGATCCTAGCTGCTATCAAAGTAGTAACCTTGGTTATCTATACACATCTGCCAATATTTTCTGATGATCTTGGAAGTAAGCAGGGAAGTCTTCAACTGCGATGCTCACAAGCTCACTTTTCACAGCCCGTTGGATGTCTGCAATAATCTTGAAGAAGCTTTCATTTCAGCCAATTTTTCCTCATGGAAACAAAAAAAAGTCACAATTATCTTCCACACAAATGTGGGATCACTTCTGGCTCTATCCAAACGATTCTTGCATAAGTTTCCATTTTCCTAAATCTTCATGTAAAATCTGATGACATACATCACGATTTAAATTCAGTTCTTCTAATATCATATGCACAGTTACACGATGTTTTTCTTGCAATAACTACCTTGGACATTCCCCGTTTGCATCGGTATGTGGTATAAACGGGTGACCAACTCTGGGATTGTCCTACACTGAATCTCTGCCTTCGCAAAATTTTTTGTGCCACTCGAAAACATGACTTCTTGAAAGTTCCTTGCCTGCATATGCTTGCTTAATCACGTTCCATGTTTCAAAAGGGGTCTTCTCGAGCTTAACGCAGAACTTAATGTTCACTCTTGAACTCAACGTACTCATGTTCATAATCACCTTAACGAATGCGACGACAAGAATCCGAACAATGTGCTGCTAAGCACAGCCCTACCACCTACTAATTTTGCATGGAAACATGGCGCAAGTCTTAGAGCTTTGGCAAAATTTTCATAATGTGCAGCTTGCTTCGCATTCTTGCTACGTTTCTCGCACATTATAAATATTTGTTACATTTGGAGTTGAATGAGTAAATGAAAGGGTACCCCCCCCCAAGTTGATGAGGCAATAAAATATCTTTATTTATCTAATGATGAGCTTGTTGGTGACCCTGAATTAGATAGGGAAAGCAATTGTAAACTTATCAACTGTATGTATGATCTAAATACCGAAGATGGAAGTTATGATGCCAAAGAAAGAGCAGGTGAAGATGAAGCAGTGCCACAGACTCAAATATTGAAACTGATAGTATAATAGAAAATACAGTACAAGGTCCGTAATTCAGACTCCTCGGGACTTCAGCGATTCCGGATTAGGGTTTTTTCCTGATTATAGATCATCAATTTAAATCAGGTAAGATGGCATGCAGAAATTATACAATTAAAAATATGAAACCATAATTTATAAAATAAAGAGCAATTATGATCTTAAGGGTATCAAAATTTACAAAAAAAAAGGTTAATATTTATTTGTTTACTTTAGTAAACATTTCTTTCGATGTAAGTTGTTTAAGTTGCTTCGTTTTTTGTGCTAATACTTTCTCTTTAATTCTATAAACAGACATAATTTCTTGTTCAGTTACAAAGTTTCACTGTTCAAGTCCTGTAATTGCTGTGTTGAGAATACCAACTAACTTTTCAATCAGAATTTTTTTGTTTTCAATAACCTCTCAGTCACTTTCTTCACTATCAAAAGCGACGCATTACGTGCATGCATAAAGCATACAAAAAAAAAGTTTGTGGCTTTGAGGTTCAGATTATAGATCATTTCGGATAATGGACATCCAGATTATGGACTTTGTACTCTATTTCAGAACTAGGGAAAGCTAAATTAATGATTCTCAAGTAACTTCATATTATATTAAATGGGGTAAAGATGGTATAAATTACATGCTGTTTAATGATATTATTTTTCAGAACAGTAATAACATAATGCACCCGCAATGTTCCGATCTTGAGATCTCCTCGCGCTTAATACAAGTTTTTTGTATATATATTTCATTCAAGAAATTATGTAAATCATTATATCAGAAACCAACAGGTAAGCGGAGCAATGTATACATAAATCAATGAACAGCAAAACCAAAAGGTTGCATATGCTGTTGGAAACCACCTGATGCCGTAGAAATTATGAAATTTTTGGAAATTATTTTTGCAGTGGGGATTATCCAAAGTAATATTTTGTGTATTGTGGGATTAAAAAAGAAATGTAGACTATGAATTGCTGCTCTCATATCAGACAATACTTTTCCTAAATGATAGTTTTAAAAGCAAAAACCGATGCAAGGCATCTAGAACAGACCAATTATCAAGGGGTTGTCTTCTATCAATGACAATGCTTCGCTCCCTATTTTGACGAATATCAAAGACTTAACTGTTTATGTCAATTCCCCTTATTCATCAGATCTTGTCGACTCAGACTTTCAGATCACTTCAAAATTCTCTGAAAGTCTTGGAGTTCCCCTTTTCTGGAGACTATCAATAGCATTTCAGTAACTTCTTTGTGAATAAACTTTTTAAAAACAGAAATTTTCCAGCTTCCAGAGAGATGGGAAAAAAGTTATAGAACCTACGTCAGGAACAATTGCTATGTGAATGGTGCAGGAAAATGATTAAACCATGAAGGTATTACACATTATTAATAACCAACATATTGAAAATATACAATATTTATTACCTTTAGTATGAACACGGTACATTATAAAAACTATTTTTTAACACAAAAGTCATGCATTGGACTTCGCTTTTTGATGAACTGCACTTTAGCCGAAAATGACGTTTGGGGACTTAAAATGTTTCAAGGTGTGTACAGTTTCCAATTTGCCCACAAAACACTTTCATAAGTCTCAGGGAAACTTGGCCCTATGTCTTGTTCAATTTTATATATTTCCAATGTTCTGCACTTAGACTTAAATTGAAAACTAACAGAGAAATTCCTGAAAGTCGATAGGAATAAACTAATGCACATCAACAGAAATAAAGTTGCTACAATTTCAAATAAAAATAACATTTTGAAGTGATAATAATAATGTAGATGTGAATCAAAAAGAGACATATAAACCACTACATTGTCAAATTTATAATCCAAGAGAAGGTAATGAAAATAAAAATATACTGTATTTGAGGGCATATAAGACGCACCCTTATTTAGAAGGCCACACACAAGGAAAAAAAGTTTCAATAGTCCGCACGAAAGCACGGTACCACAATAACTTAAAATGTGGTTTCTTTTAGTTCTCATGTTTCGTAAAAGCCAAATAAACAATCATTGAATGCAAATACCAAACATATTTTATTACGGAAAATTAACAAATGGCAAGCTATTTTGAACATGATATGTAAATTTCAATAATGAATAAATGAATGAATGGCAAGCAATCAAACATAATACAAAATAAAGCAAAAAAACAACAAAAAACACAGATTCAAGGAAAATGTTGCCTATCGTGAAATTAGCCTTTAATCACTTTCAAAACCATAAAAATCCTTTTCACTAGCATCGTTATCGAAAACGAGAATATCGTCATCACTACTGTTTCCGTCATCGCTAGTATCACCTTCTTCAAATAATGCGTCGTCTTCTGTTCCGTTCAGCCTTTACGTCCTCCCAAGATCTTTTTACCCATCGCACACTTGTGAAATAGAGGGCTGCTTCATTCTACCTGAGGGTGTGAGGGCATGATGTGGCTCACCTATCCACTTGTTAAATCGTTCTCCTATCCACTTGTACCATTTTTTTCTTAAATGGCTTATTCACAGATACATCTAAAGGCTGCAATTGGCTAGTCAGTCCACCAGGAATGACAGCTATCTCGGTTTTTAACTCTCTCGCTTTATTCTTTACGGTTTCAGTTCTATGGGCGCTAAGCTGATCCAAAACCAAAAGAGAGGGTTTTCTTAAGAATACACTAGGTCGCTTCGCCCATACGTTCTGTAACCACAGTTTCATTCCAGCTTCATCCATCTAGCCTTTCGGATGAATATGAACAATTACACACGTTGGAAGTTTTTCTTTCGGATGAGTTTTTCTTTTGAATATGAAAAATGGCGGTAGTTTTGTGCCATCAGCACAACATGCTAGAACTACCATACATCGGGTTTTTTCATTACCTGTGGTTTTTATGGTTATTGATTTAGACCCTTTAATATTCACAGTCTTGTTGGATGGTACATCAAATGTGAGTGGAATTTCAACCATATTTCCTATTTGACCGAGCTCAAAAGACGTTTTCTTGCATGTATTTATAACAAATCTATGAAATGCTAGTATTTTTTTCTTCCTAATCTGCTGGCATTTTCTGTGCAATACAGTCAAAAGTCTTTAATCCGGACGTCCGTATTCCGGAATGATCTATAATCCGGACCTCAAAGCTACAAACTTTCTGCGCATGTGTCAACGCATAATGTGTTAGTGCATGCGCATAATACCTTTACTCATGCACATATGCATCTACGCATGCACATAATATTTTTACACATGCGCGTTTAATGTATAACGGACGGTATAAGCTAAGCTAAAATTATCTAATTATCTATTTCAGTTAATGTTGCAGATTGCCTTGTTCCTTAATCTTCTAATTGAATCCAGCTTATTATTTTTTGCAGACTGTTAGAGCAATTTTATAAAAGTAAGCTTGAACTTTCGATTATGTCAAAAAGAATTTCCGATTCTGGAGCTACCAAAAGGATCTACAAAGCGAAATCACGTTTCGATGTCCATCAAACAAAAAATGGAATTGCTGCAAAAAATGGATAAAGGCATATCCTTTGATTCTCTAACCATTCCGAAATCTGTTTATCAATTTCACGCTGCTCTGCATTGGGGGGGGGGACGCACAATGAACTGGAAGTTGATCTGTCAGCACTATCCTTATCTTCAGGGCAGATGTTTTTATTTTATTCGGCTTATAATTCCTTACTAAATGTAGTATTTCATCTCGATGTACTCATCTTTGATATGACTTAAATCAAATTCCTCATCATTATAAATATCAGGAATACACATCAAATAGTTTTCTGCTTGCAATTTTCTAATTTCGACTATGCATAATGTATGCTTTATGCATGCGCACATTGAAAGAAATGTTTAATAAAGTAAACAAATAAACATTAAGCTTTTTTTTTTGTAAATTTTGATACCCTTTAGATCATAATTGCTCTTTATTTCATAAATTATGGTTTCATATTTTTAATTTTATAATTTCTGCATGCCATCTTACCAGATTTAAACTGATGATCGATAATCCGGAATCGCTGAAGTCCCGACGAGTCCGGATTAAAGACTTTTGACTGTAGTTGTTTTTATGCGCATTGATAAGCCTTGCCTTTTCATGAACCTGTAGCACCAGCCTTCAGACCCTGAAAAGTTTTGATTCCCATGTTTTTCTGCAAATCCTTTGGCCTCACTATCATTTTGGTTGGAACACTTCTCCCATATATCCTCTTATCTATCACCCACATTTTTACGGCATTTTCAAGTTCAGGCCAAGATGAGGCTGGGCATCGAAGGTTATGTTTTTGTTTTTTTGCAGTCTTCAGTTGATCTTCCTGCAGTCACCAAGTACATATCATTTTTTAGGTAGGTGGTGGACCGAAATGCCTTGCTGCTGCTCTGTTTCCATGCACTTTGGCGTAGTTTAACACTCCTAGTTTATACTGAATTGCATATCTTAATCTCTTGTTTCCTGTAGTCATATTTTCCAGGTTATTTTTTTAAAACAAATAGTTTTAAGCACCAATACCAACACGCTTATACAGAGTAGCACCGATACCGACACGTGCGTCGGCTGAGTCAAAGAAAGTCTATGGAAAGAAGGAAAGGCTCCATAGACGTAATGTGACCGTCAAACCTGTTCGAACTTCGACATCAGCTTCGAGCTTTGCCGCTTTTTGGCGACAGATATTTCACGCATGCACAAAATAATTATGGCAGATGTAGAAAAAGTTATGTGTGTCTAGACCTTTATCCGGGCTAAAAATAGCATCCAGTATTGAAAGTTAACCTGTGTCCTTCACGTATAAGACACAGGTAACTTTTTTGAGACCAAATTTAGGAAAAAAAGTATGTCTTATATGCCGTCAAATACGGTATATGTTACTTCTGATTTCTCTCTCAAATGATCTGTATGCGAAATGCTTCACCAGGAGTATAATTTACAAGTGATTGCACAATAAAATAATAATTCAGAAAATGGCGGATGCATAAATAAATAATGCTATTTATGAAGAATTTCATTCAGAATAAAAAAATCAGATACCATTGAGCAATGATCATTGCAAGAACTAATATCACTCCAAAAGTTCTACAGTTGTCAGTTTCACCTGATGTTAATCCTGTTTTAGCAAAAACAGGTTACATTTCTAATTAAAGCATCAATGTAGCACATCCAATTTTAGAATTAATTAATGCTGAAAAATATGATAGTTGATTCAACGATTACTGCTGCAAAATAGATGACAATACTTAGAGTATAGTGATCTTCTACATCTTAAATATTAATGTAAAACAATAGATGCATATATATATATACTTTTAATTGGTGCAGGTGAAATAGCACTGCTGGCTTCAGAAGGAGTAGAGAACCCACATGCTTGAGAAGGGGACCACATAGTATCTTCATTAGAATTCATAGCAACTTTTACTAAAGATCCTGAGTCAACATTCATAGACAAACTATTGCTTCTACAACTCAAGCTCTCCAAATTAATAGTATCTAAAATGGGGGGAAAAAAGCAAATTTTATCTCTATGTTTAAAGAAATAATTCTTTTATATTAGCATACAAAGTTTAATTTTCAAAAATAGCTTTCATTTCTTCATAACTGCAAAATATACTCACCAGATAAAACATTATAACCATCTCTACACCATGGCAATGCACTTGTCAAAAAGATGTAGATGACATATAACAAAGATGTTATTTAACATCTACCAGGGATAATGAGGAATCATCTTGTGGATTGCAAGTGCAAGTAAAGAGAAAGGTTGCCATTTTAAGCAATTTTGATAAAGGACAGACTGGGATAACCTGCAGCTAGGAGTAAGTACCGCTGAACTGGCACTATTTATCAGGTGCTCACAAGATTCCTGGTTGGATGAATCACAATTTATTTTACATCATGTCAATGGCTATGCCATCCTCCAGGTGAATAGTATGTGTACTATGAGACATAAAATGGCCAACAGTGGAGGTACCATATTTTAAAAGATATTCTCATCAGCATTTCTGGGGCTAATTATTATTGTAAAACACACCACAGCAGCTGTGGATTGTGTGAGCATCATAGCTGACTAGCTAAACTCTTTCTTGGTTTCTATTCGAGAAGCTAATGGTCCCACTCACAAAGACTGAAATGTCCTACAATGATCTGAAGAACATGGTAATGAATTCCAGTTAACAACAACTGGCCTTATTTACCTTGATGAATATTGATCCTAAGCACATCTGGTATGTCATGAAGCAGCAGCTCAGAGCTCACAATCACCTTGTAATACATTGGAATTGTGTGACTTCCGCTTGCAAATCTGGTGTTGGTGTATTTAATTATGACAAAGCGCACGAGGGCTATCTGCCTAAGGGGAGGGATGCCTTCGTGGAGGACTTTCTAAGGGAAACTGGCTCGTATACATGTTACAGATGGGGAAAACCATGAAAATTCCTATGCAGCCAGCCCGTTCGCGGGATTTGAAACTCGGACCGAACTACCAGCGTTCAGCGACTTTACCGCTCAGCCGCTGGTGGGCCTCACTTGCAAATCTGGTACAATCTTCTTCTGGGCACTTACCACAGACTGGCAAAATCCATGCCATGGCAGGTTGCAGTAGTTTTACTGGCAGAAAGTGAAGTAACATCGTGTTAAGAGAGGGCCATAATGTTTCGGCTTCTTGGTATATATTCAAGGGTGGAAAATGTTTTTTTTTTGCAGAAAAGCACAAAGGATTTTTTTACACAGTTTTTCACAAATATTTTTAAAAAACTTACAATATTTTTAGGACTCTCTTGCATTATCCTCACATATTTCTCACACTTTGTTACCCTATAAAATTTTTCTTTTCAAATCCATAATTATTAATTTGAAATATACAACATATACAAATTTTTTACGGATACTGTACTATTCATCATGCTGCATTAATAAAGTAACCCTTCAGAAAGAGTCGTAAGACAAACGAATCAAATTTCACAAATATCGAAAACTAAACAAATCTACGTTAAAAAAGTACCTTTTATAAGTAAAAATATTTAGCATAAAATTCAGATTTGAGATATGCTGTCAAATTAAACACATTAGCAATGACCAAGACTTTAATATTAATTTTAAGATACAGCTGTCTGCATTTTAATGTAGAGTTTGTATATTATGCAAAGCTTACCGACTTGAGAAAATTTTTATTAAAACTTGTATAACAATATATCTTCCAAAGTACAACTTGTAATGCATTCATATCAAACCTATCTAAATAAAAGCTCTACATATTTTCATATTAAAATATCCGAAATTATGCCAATACATATCAATCATTAAGACCTGAACTCAGGCATGTGTTTAAATTATGTATAATTTCAAAATAATTATGTATAACTCATATAAATACTAGTTTAGTTATTAAATAATTGCACAGATTTATATAATCATAAAGTGTTTGAATGCAGTAATGTAGGTATGCAGTATTTAAAATAGTAAATAATTATGAAAATATCTCGAATTTATTTATATAAATACAAAGTATTGAAAGCATTTACATAATTATGTAATATTAAATATTACAAATACTTAAGCTAGCAAAATGCCTAGAAAATATTGCAACCATACTTATAGCATTCTAAAATAAACTTGCAGATGTTAAAGAGCGACACTTATCTTCTGATATAAAAAATTCACACTTCTCTGTTTTCAAGAACGGGTTAAGAAATGTAAGTCAGCAAAAAATCAAATTTGATACATGAAATTCATAAAGGCATAATGCAGTACAAAAGATGAGCATAGTATAGTGGCAAAAAAATGAATTGGAGCCATACAGCAGAGAATGAATAGAAAAAGACTTTATTGGAAGAATGGCATTAGTACAAAATATTGTCTGGCCAAGAAAAAGAACAACAAACTAAAGAGCCTTAGTAAGGAATATGACCTCCTCTAACTGCAATGGTTGTGTTGTATTTATTATCAGTCAATACCAGAACACCAGATTATCTAATAGTTTTGGGGGTAAGAGTACCCATTCTTCAAAAAGCATCAGTATCAGGTGCCTGGTGTTCTCCACAGGGTAAAATCGTATCACTGGCCTTCTCCCTAAAACATCTGACAGATGTTTAATGGGATTTAAATCAGGGAAGCATGTTGGCTAATCCATTCTGAATAGCTTCACTTTCCACAAGCCCCTCAACAGCATGAGTACATGCATTGTTATCCATAAAAACAAATTTGGTACCAATGGCATTCCAGGAAAAAAAAAAATGTATGTGGGGAAAGATAACTTAGTCATAGTAACAATCTCCAGTAAGTAAACCTCTGTCGAAAATGCGGAACTCTGTCCGTTCATTCATTGTAACGCTCCTGCCATTACGCCAGGACCATCCCAATGGTCTCTTCTCTGATATTAGTGGTCTGAAAATGTGTCCCTATCGCTTCTCATATTAATTGGCACAGAAAATCATTTGTAAGACTGAACTAAGAGGACGTGACTAGCTCTCCAAATTATTGCTATCGTCACATGAGGATCTTGCTCAGCCAGCAGACGTCTCTATTCGAGAGTTTTAGAGCATTCTGAGTGTTTGCTACGCCTGAAACATTTTTTAGACTGAACTAGTCAAGCCCTTTTAACTTTTTGGTTCTATTTTGCATTATCTATTTCATTATAGTTGAAGTTACGGTTTTTGTAATGTCAAGTGGCAGCATTATTGAATAAGTTATTACTTTTGTAATATTACAGCACACTGTCTTCTATATAGTAACAGCTTGACGATTGCGACTTGAGGGGAGACTACACACATGAATTTCTTACCTTTGTGTGGCCTTCTGTGCATTCTCCTTGTAGTTCCATTGTGATGATACATAAAAATCAGGAAGCCAGGGAAATACATATGACTGCAAGAGCATGTTTAACAAGTATCTTGTTTGGTGTGATTTACAGATGTAGGCTTTAAAGTATCAGAAGAGTAAGTATCCGGGTCTGTACTACAGATAAATGCTAGTTTAACCGGATGAACTGATATTTTCTGTGAATGGACAACCTGAAAAATTTTGCACCATGTTTGAGCACTTTAAACTGGGTTCTTATACAGAGGATGTAGTGGCCATCATACTCCACCACAACACACAAACACATGTGAGCATATTTTCAAATCTTTGTGAATAAATACTGCTTTTGTTGCATACGATCCAGTCGTTTTTGATACAGCCTCTAAGTTGTTTGACAGGATCAGTATCAGCATTTGATGCACAAAAAAAAAAAAAAAATAAAATAAATCACATGATATTTTTATTGTAAATTTGTACACAAGTTCAGTGACAGTGGAACCAATGTTTTCTTTGAAAGCCATCCTCAGACCAAGTAACAAAGCTGGTAAAGTATTTGCAATTCTGGAGTTTCACTGAATTCTGGAGCATACTAAAATATTACATATTAATGCAGATTAGACAACAATGTATGTATTTTTTCAACAATGTGTGTATTTATATTTAAACAACAATGTATGGGTATTATTTGAACAATTTCCATATATTTATTATGCACCTAGAAATGTTGTTAGAGCCTTGAATAAACAAGACTCAAATTGACATCTTGATTGTAATGGTAGTTGCAACAATAAAACAAGAGATTCGGTTCATGTAGAAAACCTACACAACTTTCATGGCTTGAATATTGATGACACAGACAGCTTCAATCCATCCAGTACCTCGATAGATAGATAGCTGTTAGATAATATGTGAAGCCATTTGAAAGTGGAAATGGACTGATGAGATGTAGATGAATATAATGAAATCACATACAAATTTCACTAAATGATTGTGAAAGGGCTGAATTGTGTTTGTGTTTTTTGATACGAAATACACTGTCTTGTCCAGTTTCTGGTGCCTTTGTTCATATTTGGCCACAAATATCACCAATGAACTAATTTTAGCATAGTGGGAATGATTGAATAAGCTAAATTATGTATGCAATTAAAACACAATTTTCAAAATGACCTGGGAATATAAGGTCTTTCTGTTCCAGTAGATGTATCACAATAAAATATTATTTCTGAATTTCACAGCTTGATTTTTTTTGTGGTATTTAATATTAATTGTTAGTATTTAATATTTTCTTGAACTCTTAATCTGCTGTTTGTACTTTGACAATTTCTTCAATCCATGAAACCAATAACTTTAATTTCATGAATGTCAGACAATGTGCCGGCGATAATATTATCAGTTCCGTTTATACATTGAATATGAGTTGAGAAATACAGTCTGGTTTACAATTTGGACGTGAGAAGCATTTTTGAAACTTTTATTTCAAAGCAAATATCAGTGGTTTGTGCTCAGTAAACACTGCAGATTTGTGTTTCTATAACATGTGTATAAATTTTCAAATAGATTTTTTTTTCTCAGTGGTTGCGATTTCTCTAAGGGGGAAAAAAATGCTACAGACTTGAGTTACAGTTAGTAACTTGATATTGAGATCCACCAATAGCAGAGTGAAATGCATCTAAGAATACAAGACGCATGCTAAT